TTTTTTTTTTGAGACAGGGTCTCACTATGTAGTTGAGACTGACCTGGAACTCACTATGTAGCCCAGGCTGGTCTCGAACTCACAGTGATCCTCCTGCCTCAGCCTCCCAAGTGCTGGAATTACACGTGTGCACCACCTCACCTAGATCCAACCTTCTGATCTTAGTAAGTCTTTGTACAAGTATATAGTGTAGGGCTGGAGATTTAGCTCAGTGGTGCTGCCACCTGCCTCACAAGCACAAGGTTCCAGGTTTGATCCCTGGTACAAAAAAAAAAACAAGGAAAAAGTATATAGTATAGTTCCCCTCAGTATATATACTACCATAATTTAAGTTAACCCTAACCTATAATTTTTAATCTTTACAAACTTAAAATTCCTTCAGTCGATAGAGGTCATTTGCCTTATATAGCACAAATCAAATCTTCACAGAGTCAAAATGACACAAATTAATTTACAGAAGTGATTTTCCTTATACTGTTGTAAGACTTAGCCAGTGACTAACAAATAGGGAAAAATAGTATCAGAAAAGTTTTTTATGAATCCCTTGCGTTCAGAAAAAGAAACAAAATTTCTACTCTTCCATGTCACTTTATCATAATTGTTAAATAAAATTTCTCTTTTAGTCTTAATAGTTTCAGAAGTTTAAATAAACTGCACAGCCTATTCCTTCCCATATCAATTCATTTTTATGTATTTGTTTTCAATACCTACAGCTCGAAAAACAAAGAAAAAAATTAAAGGAATTCAACAAGCCACTACAGGAGTCTCACAAGATACTTCTGAAAATCCTCCTAACAAAACAATAGTTCCTGCAACGTTACCACAACTCACCCCTACGCTGGTGTCACTCTTGGAAGTCATTGAACCTGAGGTGTTATATGCAGGGTATGACTGCAGTATTCCAGACACAACCTGGAGGATCATGACCACACTCAACATGTTAGGTGGGCGCCAAGTGATTGCAGCGGTGAAATGGGCAAAGGCAATACCAGGTAAGACAGAAAGGAAAGACAGAACTACATTATAAAACTGTGATTTTTTTAACTGGTTTTTTTGGGGGGAAAAAACCGGCTGACTCTTTATCATCCTCATTTCCCAGAACATCTTGTTCCCCATTCTCAGTTCTTAGGATTGAAAAGCAAAAAGTCGGGTGAATATGGGCAAGGGGAAAGTCTGCAATACAATTTTTAGTGTTCCCAGTCTTCAGATCACTGCCCAGAACACAGTAATTTCATATGGGATGATGTAATGTCAGAACCAGTGACATTTAGGAGAATAAAATGTATAATGTTTTTAAGAATTCCACTTATTTTCCTTTAGGTTGTTTGTAAAATTGGTAAATACCAAGTGTTTACTTGTCAAATGTAGTAAATTAGTGTAAAATTTATTTTTAAGATAATTTTAAATAAAAGTTTCCCTGTGGAACATCAAAAGGCAACAGTTAGTATCAGCCTGACTTTACAGAGAAGAGGGAAACTGACAAGTTTGCGATTATTCAACTAGAGACAGAACAAGAATGAGTAACCTCTTGGCCCTTTTCTATCAAGAGGAAAAGAAGTGTGAACATCGGGAAACTTTTGCAAAAGGTTCATTGGCTGAGTACAATTTGAAGCAGGTTTTCTCTTTTGCTCTTCAGTTCATTTTTAGTTAAATAAGCAAAAGGTGACCAAACTGCTACTATTTTCTTGTATAAAATGCCATTAAAAAGTTTTGAGGGTTTGGGTCTTAATGTGTCAGATGACTAAAGAAAACTTTATTAACTTTATCTGTTAAGAGTCTTCCCACACCAAGCTAAGTGATTTAATGGCTCTTTGGCAGTTCACAGAGAGATTATTTTCTCTTTGGGCAACGAGTGAGTTGTCTTATACCTTTATTTCTCTCAATTCAGGATTTAGGAACTTACACCTGGATGACCAAATGACCCTCCTGCAGTATTCATGGATGTTTCTCATGGCATTTGCCCTGGGGTGGAGATCTTACAGACAATCAAGTGGAAATCTCCTGTGTTTTGCTCCTGACCTGGTTATTAATGAGTAAGTCATATGTGAGTCATTCATAGGATATTTTTAACTAACTGCTGTTTTCCTGATGGCCTGCTAGTGTAGTGTGATCCTGAACTGAATCAGTCCTACCAGGTATCTAAGAACTGGGCAAATTCAGAATTGTCTATCAATGCTTAGGGCAGCTCATATGTAACATAGAATAGATATGCATTTGGCATTATCACCATCCCAGCACATAAGAATTTTTTTTAATAGTGGACATTTCTGGGGTCAGTCAAATCTGTGGCAAGTAACAAGGAATCTTACTGTAATGTTTTTTTAACTACAGAACCCTATTCCAGAAAGGGAAAAGGAGCGTGAGAGAACTCATGTGGCTTCATAGGGACAATTACAGATGAGGACATCTTGGTGGTGGGGAGGGTTTGAGAGGTATGGACCCAAAAAACTTTGCATGGCAAAGTTCACTAAATGTCTGTGTCCTAGAAAGAACGTGGAAACAAGTTACTGATTTTGTTGTAACTGAGAACCAGGTAAGCCCTTACAGCTTCTATAAATTAGCTCTTCTTATCTTTTAGGACTGTGCCTCTGTGAAATATTTCAGGTGTTCATTGTGTCAACTAGTTTCCTACTCACAGTGTATACTCGGTTGTATTGATTTATGTTTTCTTCCTGAAGCACAGTTCTCATCACATATCTCCCCAATATACAGATGTCTTCCACATCTCGTTGACCAGCTAGTGTACACTCTATATGCTTTCAGATTCTCCAGAACTTAGTCTCTCTCACTTTACTCTCCCACTCTGTTCTCATCCAGCTAAGTCATTCTTCAAACACACCATCAGCTCGTGGTGTTGTGTATCTCTAGTTTTTCTCATTTTGTATTACTACTTTTTGTGCCCCCAGTTTCTCTCTCATTAGAGTGTAAATAAGGAGTTCACACACATTATACCCCTTGCCTAAACAGTTTAAAGAAAGTTTGTACTTAGGTGAAAAAAAGAGGTTTCCTTAATTGTAAGCTCTAGACACTGTTAAGATCCACACTCTCTAACCCTGCCAAAAAAATTAATAAAATTTAAAACTGCATTACAATAATAGTTACATGTGAGACAATGTGAGTAAACCCATCATTAGTTACTTGGGGCACCTGAAGTTTTGTCCAGCTTTGGCAAGGTGTTTGAACGTTAACACTGATTGATGATCATTAATCAGGAAAGAGAAAAGGAATCTTGGAAGCCCAGCCTAAAGACATGAAAATATAGCACATATCCCATGTTGGTTGCGCCAGGTTAAAAAAAATGGATGAGTTCTAGAAAAGCATCTATTTGAGCTGAGCATCAAAAGGGACAGCCTGATTTACAATGTGGTAAGTTCCCTCTAAGTAGTTTAAAGACAAGATCCTCAGGTTGTATGCAAGAAGCCACAGGTAGCAGGAGAAGTCTAGACCAGACACCTCTTCTTATATTACCACTAGGTAAATCTATAGCTAGCTATTTTTCAGCATCATTTAGAACTAAATACAGCAGACATTTCAGGTTTCCCTGCTACTAGACTAGTGGCATAAAAAACCAGTCTAAAAATCCTGGCTAGAAGTTAAACTTGGTATTGCTTCCTCATTGGTGTTACTCTTTTTCCAGTACTATACTTAACAAGTTCCAGGCACTATTATAAGACTTTAAAATAGTGAACAAAATAGATGAAGCCCCTGCTGACCCTTGATAGGAGAATTCAAATAAATAACAATTATTTCGCACAGCCAGATATAATAGTGTAACGGGAAAGGGAGGAAAGATGAATGCTACATTAGATTTTATGACTGCAGAAGAACTAAGTAGTTGATCATTCAGTGGTACAAAACAAACTATATGAAAAAGGCAGCTGAGCATACTGTTTGAGTTGTTTACAGAAGTAAACAGAAGCCAAAATAAAAGTCTTTTAGGCCATGAAATCAGTTTAGATTTTATGACCAAGAAATAAGTTAGAGGGAAAGAACAAATACTCATCATAATCCTAATACATGCCTCATACAGCACATGACTTGAGCAAGAACAAGACAAACAAGCTCCCTGATCTTTTTTTGCATATATGGCATCCATAGAAGAGATACAGATAAGCACCAACTACATAAAACTTTAGACTGATAGTTTTTTATACTAGACAAAGATCTATTTCAGAGTAGTTAATGACTTTTTGGAGGAAGTGTCATTTAGGCTAAAACACAAAGGAGAAATGATCAGGTTTCACAGAGAGAAAAAACATGATGAAATATATGACATACATACATTGTACCATATTCAACTGCTTTGTATTCTAAGAGGCCATATCCCACAGCCTTTAGCCGATAGATTCTAACGGAAACTGTTTCAATATCTGTGTTAGCCAAAGAAGTCAGGTGACTGCCAAAAAGAACTTTGAAACTACCACATCACAATGGAACAAGATCAATCTCATTTTATATTAACTGGTATGTGCTCACTCAGCAGCACATATTTTAAATTAAGTGATAAATATATTTACCTTATATGAAAACAAGATATTTTCACTCATTTCAGAATCCAACTGTGCTTTCAAAAAGATGCTGTCACTTTCTAATAAGCAAATTGAAGTCATTTAATTAGAATTAAAACCATGAGTAAGTTTATATGAAATGACAACTTATCCCTTTCATTTGTAAAATCTAATTCAGGGTTTTCTTTTTAGCACAAACCAACTTAAATTTAAGTACAACTTGGTAATGCCATATATATATATATATATATATATATTCATATATTCTTACAGAGTATTGTTCTCCAGTTACATTAATTTCATTTCCATTATGGGATGTGTAAGAATGCTTTTAAGATTTTATCTAGTTGCTAAAGGATTTTCTTCACTCAGTTCTCAATTCTTTGGGAAGATCAGTGGCATAGAGGAAAAACAGTTTTGAAGATAGCGTTCTTCCCACTCTTGTCTCTAAGCTACTATCTATGAGACAAGCATGCCTCCCTCTTTTTTAGTGTTTCTGTATTGCTCTGTTGTCTGTGATAGGCAGATTTAGAGCAAGAATACAGGTTTAAGTTCCAATCCTCTATGTACCTGTAAAACAGTCTCTTGGTTGTCTTTACATTACAATGTGTAAAGAGTATTGGGGGGGGTACCAGGGCCATTAAGAATGCACTGTTTCTCTATTACATGGTAACATTATTGAAATTTTCAGTTATAGAAGGGTTTCTAGCCATGAATAATAAACAAGGGAAAAAAGCTCCCAGAGAGGATTGAGATGGTGCTTCCTCAGAGATTTTAAATTTAAAGAGCCGTGGGAACTCCTCCATGAGTGCTTTGGCCCATAAATTTCATGTGTAATTCATTTTATCATATAAGCAAAATTACCCACATCTTCAGTAGAAATAATGACTCTAGTAAAAACAAAAAATTTTCTTGAGTTTAAAACGTATGTACTAGGCCTATTTTGGGGTTCTGAGTGTTACATATTTCCAAAGTAAAAAAAAATTAGAGATCTATTTGAAAATTATGGATGTGATAGTGACTACTGAGATTCATAATCAAGAATTTATTTGTTACATTGAATTAAAAGAATGCTCATAACATGTCTATCAGAAGCAGACTTGGGGTATAAGAAAGTCTAGAATCGTGCTAGTACTAAAGAAGGTCACACATGATTGTCATCAGATGGAGCATTTTGTTTTCAAGTGGGTAGGACCTAAAATTTCAAATGGTTTTAATATTCACATACTAAACCTTTATTTGAATGAGCACCTCATAATAAGTTCTGTGGGAATAAACTGTGCAGAAGTAAATTAAAAAAAAAACATGTCATGTTTTGATAGAACCCTTTGTAAATACTATATACCAGTGATGGTAAAACTTACTTTTAAAGCTTTCAATAATACAAACAGATACTTGTGCTGGTGGGTTCACTCCTACTACTATAAGTTTAAGGAAAGTTCTCCAAAATTATGGTTCTATAACAAATTAACAATAATACCAATAGTTATGCTTTCATTTTTAAGTTCATAATTTTGTAAAACAAACCAACAGAAATGTACCTTTTTTGGAACTTGCATTCCTAACTCAACTCACTCTTATTTTCTCTCACAGGCAGAGAATGAATCTACCCTGCATGTATGACCAATGTAAACATATGCTGTACGTTTCCTCTGAGTTAAAAAGGCTTCAGGTATCTTACGAAGAGTACCTCTGTATGAAAACCTTACTTCTTCTCTCTTCAGGTTGGTAGACTACCTAGTCACTTCAGTGTGAAATATGAAAGTCTAGAAATGAACATTTATATACAAACACTATTTTGCTAGGCAGATGATTTTTAATTTAGAAAGGCATATTTAATGATGCCAAGATTAACAAGACAAATGAGTACAGGAGAAATATGTACCTCAGCTGCACAGGGCGTGCTGTTAATCAGAATTTGGGCATACTGCTTGCTCCTTCCTTCGATAAAATTACTATATGAAACATGGAGAAATAAAATCACAATAATTTTGTTTCTCTGGCTGTTACTTGTTACCTAACAAATACTATCTCAATAATTAAAAGGAAGGTCTAGATGTGATGTTAAAGGACTACTCAAAATATACAAAGAATTCTTAAAACTGAACAATCAGGAAACATCATCATTTTAAAAATTGACCACAAGGTTTAGGGAAGGTGGGATGGGTAGGGGAAGGGTAATAAGGGAAAAGAAGAAAATGTGAGATAATGAAAAGATGGAAATAAAGTGTTTGTAGATGGGGAGGGGAGGAGGGGGTGAAGGGAGGGCAGGGGTAAGGGGAAAAAAAGAGAACCAAGACCTGTCATGTAGAGGTACAAATTCCCAACAATGAATGTAACTGTACTGTATCCCTAAAATGTACCAATAAACTCAATTAAAGCTGAAAAAACTGACCACACACCTTAGCAGGCATCTCACTAACAAAGATGAATGATGGCAATTAAGCATGTGAAAAGATGCTCCCCATAATATAGCATCAGGAAAAATTAAAATTAAAACAACCACCACCAAATACTGCCAAGGACATGGAGCAAGATGAATTCCCATTTGTTGCTAATGGGAATGCAAAAATGGTACAGCCATTTTGGAAGACAGTTTGGTTGTTTCTTATGACTAAACCCTCTCTTATGAATTAGCAGCTGTATCCTTTGGTATTTCTCCAACAGAGTGGAAAATGTATGTTTACAGAAAAGCTCTACTGGTAATTGCCAAAATTTGGAAACAACTAGATGTCCTAGTAGGTTAATGAATAAAAAAAATTGATATATCCAGATGAGTATCATTCAGCACTAAAAAGAAATGGGCTATAAAGTTGCAAAAAGACAGAGAAATCTTAACTGTACATGACTAAGTGAAAGAAACCAATCTGAAGGGCTACATGCTATATGAATATGAGTATCACATTCTATAATAGGCACACTATGGAGACAACTGAAAGATCAGTGATTGCTAGGGATTAGGAAGAAAGGGAGCACGATAGGATTTTTAGGGGAAAAAATATATTCTGCATATTACTAGGATGTTGGATACATTTGTTCAAACACATAGAAAGGTATACCACCAAGAATGAAAGTACCAAAAAATAATGAAATTATCAACACAGATTCATCAGTTGTAACAAATGTACCTCTCATGGAAAGATGTTGATAATGGGGGTGGGCACATATAAGAACTCTACCTCCCTCCAATTTTGCTATGAATTTAAAATAAAATCTTTTAAAAAGGGAGCAGCCTATAAACCAGGTAGAGTTATATATCAAGTTAATGTTTATGAAACACCAAGTTAGTGGCCAAATCTCTTTTTATATACTAATGAGTAAATTACTAATTTCTTTAAATTACATTAGTAATTATAGATTCATAGTTGTCTGCAATTTCAAGTTATGGACACTGTTCATATACCACAACCATCTCCATACACATACTAGTATTAATGCTTTCATACTGTCTTTGTACTTAAAATGTTTTGTTAACTGAGATAAGTAATATTAAAATTTCAATCAAAGCAAAATTTTCCATAAGCCAGCAAAAAATTATAAGTAAAGACCATTGCTAGAATGTCACCTGTAACATAAACTTATTAAAACAGTAAATGGTGTTTCAGGTACATAAAGTTCTGATCAAACAGGTCAGTATCTAGTCACCAGGAACTTAATTTGTAAAAAGTAATGGTTTAGATTTCACACATACCACACTAAGCTATATGTATTTTGATTGTAGATATAAACTAAACTGAACTAGTCTAGTACATACTATAGATTCTTTTTTTTTTTAATTTAAAAAGTATAGAATCAAGGATAGAAAGACATGGTATAAACTAACTTTCTAGAACAACTAAGTGAAGATAGGAAATCAGAAGTTAAGGTTCATCCTGTAGCTACTTTTCTCTTTAAGAACTTGTTTACATTCTATATTTAGAATATTTATATTCTATATTAGTGTATTTAGTAAGACCAGGATTAGAATATAAGCGAAATTTAAAAGCATTGGGTGGTCTAAAAATTGATTATAGACATGTGAAGAGACTCTTGGATTGACAGGTATAACTAAAATCATCCAGAATACTCCTTTTTTTTGGGTACTGATCAAACTCAGGAGCCTGTGCTTATGACAGGCCCAGTGCCACTTACCTAAACCCCAGCTGCAGAATACATTTTAAAAAGTGTGTATGTTTGTGTGTATAATGAAGAAAAAAAGCTACAGACTAGAATCTGAAAATCAAACTTTTTTTTAATGTATCGGAGAACTGTCACAGGGCAAAACATCACCTCAAAATATGGAGAAACAGGCAAATTCTGAGAAGCAGCCAAGGTCAGTTTACTGGGAACACAAGCCTCCAGCCAGTAATGTTAGGAAGACTATTATAATTTGAATAATTTGAATGTATTGCTGGAGGCCGAATAAAAACTGGAAACTCCCAGAAATCCAGGTTGTCCATACTTTTTTAGGTTTTACCTTCAGAACTTAAGGTGACAATGGCAGGAAAAAAAAATCTATCGCTTTTCTGGTGGTACGAGGGAGAGGGAAAACATTTGGATAGACATGGTACATGTTCTTTGTGTCAGAGGCTTGCCCTCTAAGGGACCTTTTTACCAGCGCCTTGTCCAGAGAAACTTCAGCCCCTTCTGGCCTCCCTGTCTCTTGTAGGAGGGGAGAAGAAAAGACGACTAAGAAATATTTCTGAATCCCCAGGGATTTGGGACCAGTAAATAAACTTAGCTAAGATTTAATCCTAAAGATTATGAAACGTTTCACCTCCCCAGTACTTCATCAGCGTATAATAACAGTGGATTGCAACTGAGAGAGTAGTTGCAGGACACAGCTATAAGCATCACTTTGATACAAGTCAGTTTGAAAAAAGCAAGCATCAAAATTAGTCCAATATGCTAGAATTATCAGATAGGGAACTTAATTATATATTTAGGGCTATCATGGAAAAAGCAGAACACATGCAAGAACAGATGGGTAATATAAGGAGAGAGAACGCTAAGGAATTCTAAGGAAATGCTAGAGTTAAATGTAAGAATATAGGGCACAGCTAAGAAAGAATCAAATCAGTGCGCATGAAGATAAACAAAAACTTTCCAAACTCAAATGCAAAGAGAAAAAAGAATGAAGAATAAGGAAGTACAGAAACCAAAAGAAAAAAAAGAAAGAAAAAAATACTTGAAGTAGAAGCCAAGAAATTTCCAAAATTAATGACATTCACTAAAACCTATATCCTGGAAGCTCAGAACACCAAACTAGCACAAAATCTGTACCTTGTATATCCTACCTAACAGTAGAAAACCAAAGACAGAAAAATCTCACAAGAGAAAACAGCTTTCATATTCTAGACTTGTCAGAAACAATGCAAGCAAGAAGAAAGTGAATCAAAATACTTAAAACACTGAAAGAAAAAAACTATCAATCCAAAATACTGTGTACAGCAAAATTATCCTTCAGAAGTAAAGGAGAAATATAGCCTTTCTCAAACAAAAAACTGAGGGAATTTACCACCATTAAACTTGTCTTGCATGACATGTTAAAAGAAGTTCATAGATCTATTTCATTTTTCTTCTTGGTCTAATATATATTAGAGTAAAAGGTAATAATAATGACTTGCATGATTTAAAACAGGATAAGTAAAATGAAGAGCAGAATTGTAATGCTGTGTTTTTATATAAGGTACCTGTCTGTATTACCTGTGAAGTTAATAATGTTTTTTTAAAAGGGACATACTGTACATTAGTTGCAAATATATGTTGCAAACTCAAGGCAGCTACTAAAAACAAAGGAAGTAGTAATATACTGTAAGAAAATGTAATTATTAGGGCTGGGGATTTAGCTCAGTGGCACCATGCCTGCCTCACAAGCGCAAGGTCCTGAATTCAATTCCCAGTACCAAAAAAGCAAAAGAAAAAGAAAATGTAATTCTGAAATGTTCAATAAAATCATTAGGCAGGAAAAAGTTACAAACACAATAAACATCCAGTTATAGCAACAATCACTTTAAAATGGTCTAAATACATCAACATTCTATTTTTAAAATGAAGATTAAAATATTTGCCAACAGACCACCAAAAAATATTAAATAATAAACTTACAGTAAGTAATATCATCTTTAAGAAGGAATAAAGAACGAAGAAAGTCAATACACATATATTTAATATACATTCTATATAAAGTAATAGTTTTAATGTCTTCAGCGATTTAAAAATAGAACTAAAATATGCAATAATTGCATATAAACTCAAGTGTTCAATAAAAATGAATGCTTATGCAAATTAAACCACTGAGAGAATAAAAGGGAGCATAACAAAAAGCAATCCAAACGAATAAAGGAGGGGGGGGAAGCCTAAAAGGGGGCAGCATAAGGTAGCACAAATAAATTCCTAATTTTTATAGAGATGAACTAAACGCTCCTAGCTTAATTGAAAGATTGGATTTTTAAAACGATCCAACTTTATGCTATTTATGAAAATATCTAAATGAAGACATGGGAAGGTAAAATAGAAGCGTATCCAATACAATGCATAAGATAAGAAATGGAAAATTTCTATAAAGGACAAGCTCAGAAACACTCTGAGCTTCCCTCAGTCTGTCACAGTTCCTCAACGCTGTCCTTATGGCATGAATATCATCACTGATACTTAAAACAGAAGTCTAAAACCACAATACAGTATCTCTGAGAGGTCCTAAAATTCGAAAGTCTGCTGAACTTTGTTTTTATTAAACATTTAGCTTTTTTAAAAGTCCACCCTGCCCCTGCACCCCAGCCACTGTTGACACAGAACTAATGCTCCTAGGTGCACACTTTGAGAAATATAGCACTCAAAGTTATGACTGCTACAAGATTAAAAGGACCATGGTTAGCCTTCTGTTCACTATCTTCAAATACCACTAATTTTTAAAGTAACATACCGAAAAAATTTTATCAATTTTCCAATCCAGATTCCAGGAGCTATTTTTAATATGTGTAAGTAAAAAAAGGCGGGGGGCAGACATTTGCTCCCTGTTTCTTTTTAGGCTGGAATGATATGCGCTCAGTATGCTAACACATTTTTTAAAATTTATTACTGCATACTCATCCTCATAATTGTAATCTCAGTACTCCTGGGATGCCAAGACAGGAAAAACACAAATTCAACCCCAGCCTGAGAAATTTAACAAGATCCTGTCTCAGAAGAGTTAGGGACATAGTTCATAACAAAGGCCCCCAGTATAGGGTGGTTTGGAGGGTACTGCATACTGATTTCACAGTTTTAATCAACTAGTGACGCCATAGATATTCTAAGATTTACCTCTCGGAAATAACAGCGAACCATCTACCTCAAAACCAGAATTAAATTTGAGTGCAGAAGACAGCTACACTAAATAGTAACTATTAATTCCTTAGTCTTTAAAACAACATTGAGTGGGTACTATATCCCTAAAATGTACCAATAAACTCAATTAAAGCTGAAAAAACAAAAAACAAAAAAACAACATTGAGCGGGCTGGGGAGTTAGCTCAGTGGTTCCACCACCTGCCTTGCAAGCACAAGAACCCAAGTTTGATCCCTCGTACAAAAAAAAAAAAAAAAAAAAAAAAAAAAAAAAAAAAAACAAAAAACTCAGTAAGTAGGGAGAAAAGTGTCATTACTGGTTACATTTTATACCTTTAAAAAAATTATTCACCCAAGGTTAAGGCCCTCTATATTCTATATTCTTGCTTGGCTGCACTCTCACAATCCTTTGAAAGTATTTGTATCTTAGAACACATTAAGGTAACTGAAATGTGGTAGCAGGTGCCATGCTTGATGTATAAAAAATTACAGCAAGGAAATTCTTCAATTGACTTCATCTTAACCTTTTAGTTCCTAAGGAAGGTTTGAAGAGCCAAGAGCTATTTGATGAAATTAGAATGACCTACATCAAAGAGCTAGGAAAAGCCATTGTCAAAAGGGAAGGAAACTCCAGCCAGAACTGGCAGAGGTTTTATCAGCTGACAAAACTTTTGGACTCCATGCATGAAGTAAGTGTCAAACATAAAGCCATATATACAAAAATGTTGTGAGATATAAGGTATGTTTTTATTACCAATAGTCCCTTCCCCTACACTTAGCCCCCAACTTATGAACTTGAGTTGTGCGTATATTTTTCCTAAGGCCAATTATGAAATATTTCATCTGTGTATATAAAAATAGGCTTTAATACAGAAATTTTTAAAAGGTAGAATTCCCTGTTTTTGTTTGAATAGTCTATTAAATTAACATGGCTTTCATATACCCTAGACTGAAATTCAGCATAAAGCACTTAATTTCATGTATTTTTACATTTTAAATTTAAAATGTCTTTTGTATTTAAGTGCTTATTTTATTTGATTAAACTCTTTCACCGGGAGAATTCTAGTAAAGACTGGTATAATAGTGTAACATGTTCATCCTAATCAGTTTTGAACCCTAGTTATGCTGTATCTTCTCTTGCAGGTGGTTGGAAATCTCCTTAACTACTGCTTCCAAACATTTTTGGATAAGACCATGAGTATTGAATTCCCTGAAATGTTGGCTGAAATCATCACCAATCAAATACCAAAATATTCAAATGGAAATATCAAAAAGCTTCTATTTCATCAAAAGTGACTGCCTTATTAAGAAAGATTGCCTTAAAGAAAGTTGAAGCTATAGCTTTGATTGTACAAACTATCAATTTGTCTTGTGGACGTTTTGTTGTTTTTTCTTTGTTTTTGTCTGTTTTGTTGTTGTTGTTGTTAAGTACGCACTACATGTGGTTTATAGAGGGCCAAGACTTGGCAACAGAAGCAATTTAGTCATCACTTTTCAGTGATGGGTAAGTAGATACTGAAATTTATTATTTGGAGTGATGAGTAAGTAGATACTGAAATTTATTATTTGGAACATGCTAGAAACTAGAATAGTGTGGGAGTAATCGCCACCATCAGTGAAGGATGGCACCTGAACCACCAGTGCCCAAAGTCTGTGTAATGAATTTTGTGCTCATACTTTTCAGCTGGCTGGATACAACTTTCTAAACTTTTTGTTGATGTATTTTCTCACGTATAGTTAGGATAGTATTTTTGATTTATGCATGGAATCCTGAAAAAGTTTACAAGTGTACATCAGAAAAGGGAAGTTGTGCCTTTTATAGCTATTACTGTCTGGTTTTAACAATTTCCTTTATATTTAGTGAACTACGCTTGCTCATTTTTTCTTACATTATTTTTGTATTCAAGTTATTGTACAGCTGTTTAAGATGGGCAGCTAGTTCATAGCTTTCCTTAATAAACTCTAAACATTAATCTGCGTGAAAATGGGTTGGTGCTTCTAACCTGATGGCCCTTAGCTATCAGAAGACCACAAAATTGACTCAAATCTCCAGTATTCTTGTCAAAAAAAAAAAAAAAGCTCATATTTTGTATATATCTGCTTCAGTGGAGAATTACATAGATTGTGCAACACAACTATTCTCACTGGTACAGAGCACCTAATCCAGTGACCTGCTGGGTAAACTGTGGATAATGGTTACAAAAACTAATTTTAAAGAATACCTATCAAGAGGCCCTGTTTGTACCCAGTGCCCTATCTTTGCAATGGTTAGATGTCAAGAAAGTTGGTAAACTAAATGTCTTTTGGGATCTTTTGAAATAGTGTATATAACTTCCTTAAAGTTATGATTCCAAACAACCAGCTGTAACACGGCTGAGGGATTTTTTTTTGATCAGACCAAGTAATTCCTCTCACCAAACCTTACCCAAAAACGAAATCTCTAATATGGCAAAAGTGGCTAGACACCCATTTTCACATTCCCATCTGTCACCAATTGGTCTATCTTTCCTAGTGGTACAGGAAAGCTCAGCTACTGATCTTTGTGACTTAGAACTGAATGTCAGACATCTATGTTTGTAGAACTACACATCCCTACATGTGCCATAGAATTTAACACAAGGCCTGTGAATTTCTTCACTGTTGAGAATTATTTTAAAACAAGCTGTAGTAGCCCTTTCTGTGCACATATTACAAACTTTCTATAAACTCAAAACTTAACATATTTACTAAGCCACAAGAAATCTGATTTCTATTCAAGGTGGCCAAATTATTTGTGTAACAACTGAAAATCTAATATTAAAATATGAAACTTCTAATATATTTTTATATTTAGTTATAGTTTCAGATATATATCATATTGGTATTCACTAATCTAGGAAGGGAAGGGCTACTACAGCTTTACATGCAATTTATTAAAATGACTGTAAAATAGCTTGTATAGTGTAAAATAAGAATGATTTTTAGATGAGATTGTTTTATCACGACATGTTATATATTTTTTTGTAGGGGTCAAAGAAATGTTGATGGATAATCTAAATGATTCATAGTGTATACAGATATTCATACAGGAAGCAATGGTCTCAGAAATCAAACAAGTTTGCTCTAGGGCAGTAATGGCAAACCTTTTAGAGCTTTAAGTGATACAAACAGCCCACTGCGTCTTGCATGCCGTAGGTTCACCACCACTGCTCTAGGGAAAGATGGAGGCTGGCCCTGTGTGCAGTGAAGGTTGCTGAGGCTCTGACCCAATCAGATCACAGAGGAATTAATTCTTTGCCTCCCCTTCTGACTACCCTTCTCATTCCAAGAGTGAGTCTGTTAGCACAGGTTTAGTTTACTAATTTCCCCTTGCATTTACAGTGTGCAAAAGAGACAGAAAGGCGATGCTTACATATGTATAGGCATCATCTCATAGCAGGGTTACTTTCATATACAGCCTAACAAGCTTTAGAAGTTTGGCAATAATGTGCATAGAGGTACCAGCAATATGTAAATAGTGCAGAATCTCATAGGATGCCAGTAATACACTAATTCCTTTCTATCCTACAACAAGAGTTCATTTCCAAGTAAAATGAGAACATGTTTGTTTTCTTTGAATGCTTTTTGAATGTTATTTGTTATCTTCAGTATTCCAGAGAAATTATTTAATAAAAATGTAATCATTTGCTTTTTGAATGCTCTCTGAAAGGGAATGTTCCTTTTATAATGGTTTAAATTTTCTCAAAGTACTTTAAGATGGTTTGTAACCCAGCTGGATGTGAATTTATGGTGCCTAAGAAATACCACTTGAATATTAGCAATGACAGTGTTAAGTTTCAAAAAAGAACTTCTCAAAGTAGATTATTGTTCATTTATAGAATGTTATGTGGTTAAAACCAGAAAGCACATCACACTTTAATCTTTAGTCCCAAGAACCTTGGCTTTCAAAAAAAAAATTGTCGAGTCAACTAAATCATAAAACAACTAAGAGGCTTTTCATTAAATGGAAAAGAAGCTATGCCCTTTTAGAATATGTGAGAGAGTTACCTAATTATGTTTGAGTATAATTATGGATTTAAGTGGAAAAAAAGATAGTTTGAAAGCAGCTTCATTTTCTAGGTGTGTGGTTTCTTGCCATTTCAAACTAACCATAACTTTAGTGAGAGTTGGTGATTCACAACAAATCCAAAAGTATTTTTAATTACTTATAGTAAAAAGTGACCTTCTCAGTGTTTTTCAGCATTGCTGGGGGTTCTGAACCTTCAGCAGAACTGAGGGGTCTAAGACTTGACATTTCTTTGATACATCCAAACATGCAGAACTATCAGAGAGAACCTAAAAGAGCACCTTCTTTCTCTTTGTGCCAGGGCTCGGCCGTGTCAAAAGGAAAATTAACATTAGGAGTGTCTGAAGAGCTTCATAATAAGTATAGGACGAGCTCTGAGCAAGCACACACAGGAAAGCCAGCCTTACTTCAGAATCTGGCGGGTAGAAGGGGAGGAGATAAACAATGTCATTTTTACTTGTCCTATCATTAGTAAATACCCTAAAACTACTTCACCATGAAATGAACAACAATATTATCCACTGATCTGTCAAAATGTAAGAATCATGGTAGCCTTCAGTGAGATTTGATATTGGTCACCCCAATGACTACAGCTGTAGATGAATGTGTTTTTATGTGCCTGGTTTCAGTGTTCAAAGGGAAAAATAAAAGTGTACAGTGAACACTTTAAACCACTTTGGATGAAAGTTTTGTCATATTCCAGACTATTTTCAATCAACCTGGTCCACCAAGTATTAATGACCAGGTTTTCAGGAAAGGATTAGCTTCTCTCTAGAAAATGTCTGAAAGATTTTATTTTCTGATAAAAGGCTGTTTGAAAATACCCACCTGAAATAACCTGCTTAACTACATATAGATTCAAGTGTGTCAATATTCTATTTTGTATATTAAACAAATGCTATATAATGGGGACAAATCTATATTATACTGTGTATGGCATTATTAAGAAGCTTTTTCATTATTTTTTATCACAGTAATTTTAAAATGTGTAAAAATTAAAACCAGTGACTCCTGTTTAAAAATAAAAGTTGTAGTTTTTTATTCATGCTGAATAATAATCTGTAGTTTAAAAACTGTCTTTTTACCTACGCAGTGAAATGTCAGACTGTAAAGTGTGGAAATGTTTAACTTCTATTTTCATTTAAATTTGCTGTCTGGTATTACCAACCACACGTTTGTACTGAACTGGCCGTAATGTTAGTTAGCCATTTACAGCAATGCCAAATATAGAGAAACATCATAATAAAACTCTGCTTTTTCATTATATGACTCCGAACATGCTTTTGTAAAACTTGTGCAATTCTAATTTTTTGACTTTTTTTTCTCCTACTTAAGATAAGTTACCACTTTAGGAAACTTAAGATGATAAAGTAGACCTTTAAATGTCAATATAGCAATGGTGATGCATGCTAATATAACAAATTCAAATTGAGTTGTACACTGATATCAAGGAGTATCACACCATGACTTAAATGGCTATGTAACTATTACTGCAAAGAAGCTACTGCAAATACAAGTTAACATAAAAGATGACGTGTAAACAAATTCTTATCTCTAAGAAAAGGTAATAAACACAATACAGCAGTGTTGTACAGCACAGAAAATAAAGGCAGAGAGGGAAAAGCAGTAAACAAGCTATTCTATACAGTCTATTCAGTTATCTACTGTGGTTAAACACTGTGGTTAAGCCATATCTACAAATTAGATGACATAACAAACTCTTCTATAAGTTTTTTTCCACTAACAACTACCATCCCTAGCTCAGTGGTTCCACTGCCTGCCTTACAAGCACAGGGTCCCAAGTTCAATCCCTGGTACAAAAAAAAGAAAAATAAAACCAAACTTGCCTTAAGCATCACATAGAGCAAATATTTGATTAAAACTGCATGATAAATACTGAAGATACAAGAGTAATAAGAAAAACACAATGCTAACCCCAACTCCAGTTTGTGATTGGAAACCTGCACAGCAAAACTTCTTAGGGTTTTGCAGGTACAACGCAGAGGTAGCACAAATGGCACCAGTACTTACATTCAGTATTACTGGACCATTCACCTGCAAGTATTAACCTCATGGTTTTATAAAACACCACCACGTACATTTTATCAGTTAATCTTCAACTGAGTAAATGAATACAAGTGATGAAGATATTAATTTTATAGAAAAGGAAATACACAGTCAGAATTTGAGCAACTGATTTATAGCTGCTTGCTTTATATAAGTTTGGATGGAAAGGTTCTGTAATGAAACCATTTTGCTATAAGATACCAAATAAAATCTCTCTAGCCTAGGTACCCCTCAGGGAACTAAGTTATTGTTTTGTTTTAACTATGTGTCATACACATTTCAAAAGTCATTTAATCTTAGCAACCCTAGAAGGTATTACTATAAAGGGTACCATTATCTTGTTTGCATTTATATGAGGAAGCTGTTTAAAGAATTAAGTAATTTGCCTAGGGTCACAAAGCTTGTAAATAGTTAAACCAGACTTTTTTAAATAGTGGTTATCTAGTTCCAGAGTTCAAGTTCTCAACCACTACCAAGAAATTATTAATATATAGCTTCTAACTATAGCAAATAAGTCCATATTAAGCATTATATACTCAGATCTTTTGACATGGGCTCAATTAACCTAATCCCTTTTATTACTATATCTGTTTTGCTTTACAATCTTGAGGAGGCTGATATTTTAAAAAAAAAGCTAGGCGTGGTGGTGCACGCCTGTAATCCCAGCACTCAGGCTCCCAGGCTGAGACAGGAGGATCGCTGTGAATTTGAGACCAGCCTGGGCTACACAGTGAATTCCAGGTCAGTCTCAACTACATAGTGAGACCCTGTCTCAAAAAACAAACAAACAAACAAAAAAGCCTGGGATTTAGTTTAGTAGCAACCGCACCTGCCTCAAAAGCTCAAGGTCCTGAGTTCAATCCCTGGTACCACACAAAAAAACTCAAAAAACATGTAAATAGCTGCCCACAGATTACAAAGTGTCCTTTACTGTGTAAAATATACAATAAAGAATCTATGTCTTACTTAACAATACCCACAGAAAGTCAATACATTTCTTCAAGTGATACAATGTATACAGGCTACAGACAAACTGGGAGAAAGTTATTCATAAATGAAAATTACAATGCCAATCAAAATTTGTTTACAGTCTGACAGGTAAAATAAGAGGTATCTAGACAATGGATGTAGAAAAGGCTGAAAATAGAGGCATTTACACTTGGTAAATATTTTAGGCCTTTAATCTTTCAGTTGGCAGTAAGTGGCTTTTAAGAGCATTAGTAACTTTGGTATTTTCTTTCTACAGAAAGAATTGTTTCCCCCAGTATCTGGGGATTGAACCCAGCACCTCTGCACTGAGCTACAACCCCCAGCTGTTCCTTTGTTTGTTTCATTTTGACAGTCTCACTAAATTGCCCAGAGTCTCACTAAGGGCTCATGCTGGCTACCTTCCTACCTCAGTTTCTCAGACTGCTAGAAACAGACTTGCACTACCACTCCTGGCTTCATCTCTTTTCTTATATCAGACTTGTTTCCTAGTTTAAAAAGAGACAGAACTTGATAGAGAATCATTTAAAGAAGTGAATCTCAAAACGAGTTCACAAGACCACACAGGAAATACCCCCAAAACTTTCTTCATTCTTCCTACCCCACTTGAATATAAGGCATGTAAATGATCCCATTCAAAAACCACTAAGGAAATAAATATAAAACCACAGTGAGAGATCTCTGCCCTCAAGGAATTAAAAATGAAGGGCAAATAATTCAGTAATTCCATCCCAGTCTACTCAAAAGAAATGGAAAGAATTATCCGCACATGTAAAGGTGCTTAGCAACGTAACAGCCTACAAGTGAAAATATCCCTAATATCAAGTAATGAACAAAATGTGGCATGTCCATACAATGGAATATTACACACAGCCATAACAAGTGACATACTGATATATACTGCAATAGGAATGAACTTCAAAAACATGCTACATTTTAAAAATCCAGACCAAAAAAAGGATACATTATATAACTTCATTTAGATGTCCAAAAAACGGTAAATCTGTACAGCCAGAGAACAGAGCAATGGTTGTCTATGGCTAGGGGCAGCATGAGAGATTAACTGCAAATAAGCCTGTTAGGGAATTTTTGAGGGAGCTGAAAATGTTCTAAAACTAGATTGTACTGATGGTTGTACATTTTGGTTAATTTAATAAAAATAATCTACATTTCAAGTGGATGAACTTTTAAATTTCAAAAAGTTAAGAGAATTAACTGTTAACCCATAATTCTACTCCAAGGTATATATCCAGAAGAACTTAAAAGAGATACTCAAGTAAAGGTGGATACACATATTCATTGCACCCCTACTGAGAGTCAAAAGAAGAAACAATATAACTGTTCATCAAATGAGGAATGGATAAACAAATGATAGAATAAACAAAATTTCATTTGGCCCTAAATGGAATAACATTTACTGA